TAGATTAGAACATTATAGTTGGTGGCCAAGATTCCATTCCTTTCAGTCCAAAATAACTATTATAACAAGATCATTTCGGATCGCAGTGCTTTAAAGTTCTCAGACAGAAATTTTCTCTTCATCGAGAGGGTTCAAACCTTTTAAGACCATGTTTAGTACGTCCCGAGCTTGAGCGTATGTACCACAATGATGATATTATAGTAAAGTTTATAAAATGTGTATGTACTTTGGTTATTTCTAGAATATATAACAATTATTTCGAAATAAAAAAGGTTTATTTCAGTTTAATTTTAGCAAATTTAAAACTGTTCTAGGAAAAAAATTAAATCCGAGATGAATTTGAATTCACAGCACAGTGCTAAAATATAAAATATACAATAATTAAACATTATGGCAAACAATGATTACTTTAATGTACTGCACTGTTGTAATAAAATTGAGCATGAACTTGAACGTGATTGATAATGTGCAGAATAGTTTTATAAACTCTTTTTATGTCATTGTAATGGGTATTATTAAGTGCGAAAGAAATTTTGCCAGGATTTTTAAAGCTTGTTTAAGATAAAAATGAAAAAAAAATCACACCGAATTTAGTGAGGTGTGAAAATATTTTAATTTTGACAGAAAAAATAGAAAACTTAAAAATCTGATCAATAATGTTTTCCACGCATGATACCCATTACAATAACATACTCAATTATACTAGAATTATTAAATAACATGACGGTAAAGTTACTTTAACATCCTGTTGTAGGGTGATAATGTCACTTTATCGCCCTACAACGGGAAATATTAGGTGTAATGAATTCCCTCAAAATTGAATAGAATAAACACGAATAGAAAATTTCGACGTGAACAATCTATATATATATACTTTGCTAGTCTGTATGTTTTTTTTTGTATCCAACAAACGCCAAAACGGCTGAACCGATCGTTCTCAAACTATTTGTGGGGCCTCGCGTGACCCCAGGGAAGGTTTATGGATGGATTTTTGAAAATTTTGAAAATTCACGATTTTTTTTATAAATTCCGCGAAATATTTTTTTTTTTAAATGTAACGAAAAAAACATGTTCACAATTGAATTAAAAGATTGGCGCGAGGCGCCCTAAAAGCCTAGTTATTAATATTTTCATCTAAAAATATTTGACTAAAATAATTGTTCAAGAAAATTAATTCTTGAAGTTTGAAAAGTTTGTCGAAAAATCTGGTGCTGCCAAACTTGCAAGTGTTGAGTAAAGTAAATTGAAGGGAATACTTTAAACTTTGCTAAAGTAAAATTGTTAATCAGATTATTATTAAAAGTTATAATCTTTCTTGGCTTAACTAAATATGCATTTTCAATGTTGAATACAATATATTTAAGTTGTGATTAAATTTATTTGCTGGGAGAAGAGTTAAAGCTAAATTCTTTGTTTTGATGTTTTTACATCAGATAGTCAAACTCATGGAGATATTGCATCGGAAACCCCAAAATGATTCAAACATTTCAAAATTCAACATCTAGATTTAACTCTAGTTAAAATAGATATATTGCTCTCATGCTCATTTTAACAGTTTGGTTCTTTCCATATCAAATTTACCTCCTTGAGCATATACTTTTTCCTCTTTTATATTTTTTTAATGGTGAATGCGTTTACAATTGAAAATAATCTATTAAAACAATTCTGTAAGTTTAAAGATTGTTGAATTACAGAGCAAAGCGCGATTGAATTCAAACCGAAGAAACAGAACAGATCTCCGCTGGTTAAACTCCGGGCTGCTCTAAATGCTAAATGTTGTAAAGTCCCAGTATATAAAGTAAACAGGCACTGTTAATAGTTTATTTTTCCTGAAGGAGAAACTTTTTAATCTTAAATCATACCAGGTCCTGCCCCCTTTGAGAGTTAACTTAAGACGTTAGATACAGAAAACTGTGGAATAGGAAGACGACATTAAAGCATTAATGAAGTGTATTTGATGTTGTTACAAAGCATGTAGCTTTACTAGTAAATTATCAAATCACTTGTTAAGTGAAATGGATCTGTGCACACTGCAAAATTGCTGTTCCACATGTTCATTGGACTATTTAAAGCCATAACTCTAGTCTAAAAGTCGACTTCCTATTCCAGAGTTTTCTGGTTATCACTGAACCTCTTTATTTGAATTGTATATCATTCGCTATATCAGGAGTTCAACCCTTTAACTCAAAAGTTTACACGGTAAATAACAAGTTCAGTCTCTGCAGTTGAGTTCGATCCCCACCAAAAGTTTCTGCCTCTAGTGTGAAGAATATATTTAATGTATTTGAAATTTAAAATGAATGTGTCGACTAGCTGAGAACTCAAATATAGGAAATTAATTGGAAACAAATATTTTGCAGAAGAGAGATATGTCGCATTGTCCGCCTGGAGCCATCATGCCAGCCTTTCAATTAGAAGAATAGGGGATTCTTCAAACAATGAAACCCCCCTCCCCCTCGAACCCCCCTCCCCCCCCATCTCAATCTCTCGCTTTATACTTCTTTCCTATATTTAGAGGCATGGCTCTGTTCAATTCTATAACCATAAGATGTTTCCAATGAGAAATTCTAATTATAGGGTGGATCAAAAAAAGTTAGAGGTTGAATTTAGGCCTCAGCCCAATGTCTCAGAAAACGACTCTCACCATACGAAGCAAGATGTGCTCGGTCTCACGCAAAAATCAAGCAGTAATTTGCCAATTACTTCCTTTAAACTTAAACTAAAAAACATGCGCGTTGCAATTTAAAAATGTATATGTCTAGGGCTACGCAAAAGTATGAGTAAGTTGGTGATGCATAAACTAAAGGCCAAACTGTTGGCACCCTTTCAAGTCGAGGCTGTCTAAAAATTTGATGAATATCTTTAGATTTTATTGTCTAGATATTATTGTTCTTCTTTCTGGTTACCAAATAATGCACACAGTACATATGTGCAAGTTAAAGCCAGCTCTGTCAAGTTCTCCAGCCACCTGGATTTAACGTCTGAGTTAACCTTTTAGCAGGATCTCGTCTTCACACTGACCTCAGGACTCAGAGGTTACTTCGGAAACGAATTTTCACTTCTGGATCAAATATTTGACCTGACTCCAATCGAAAAACTCTGGGCTACCCTTGAGGAAATCAAACCTCAACCGTCCAAAATCCAATCCAATCCAATCTTACATTCTTATCGTTTAGTGTTAACAGCTGTGTAGGTAATCTTCGACGTTGTTGTTGTTAAACCTTTAAACGTGCTGAATTCTGGCAGTTTCCTTCATTGTCTGTGCACAAAAAGTTTCTGTTAGAGTGAAACCACAATTAAAAATAAATCTCATTGTCTCGTAATTGTGAATCGGACATACCATTCTTTCAAAGAAGAGTACTTAAAATTACGCCTATGCAGTATTATCATATAAGTGGTATTATTATTATTATTAGAAAAAGAATATTGTAATTATGCAAATATTTCCGTATATCTAAGTATAGAATGTATTTATTTCTATCTCAAGATAATTACTAAATTATCCCAGTGTAACTTTGCCAACATAGAAGATAGGGAAACTAACTAGGTTTACTGTATAACACTAACAATTTAGGTCTCCTCGCACCCCTTCTTTGGAAAAAGTATTCCGCAAGAGGTGGGTAGCCAGAAAGGGGGGGGGGTGATTTATCCCACCGTGTAAAGGGGGGAGGGCGAATCCCTTCCCCCCCACAATTTGCAGAACCTAACATCATCACTTTTACTTCAAGTGTTATGAAGGATGTTGGGGGTGGGGGTATGGAAAAAGAGGGTTAGGGGAGGGGTTGAAAGAGAGGAAGGAGGGATGGAAAGACATGAGGGGGGGGAGGGTAAAAGAAATTAATGCAAACCACCAGATAAAAAACGAAGAAGCCTGAAATAATGCATAAAGTGGAGTTCCAAAATTTTCTAAAATCTAGATTTTTCGACAGACAACATTTTTTTTGTCTTGACTGTCTTTAAACCTTTGAGGGGTCATGTCTATAAATTTAGTTCTTATTGAATTCGTCGTTTTGACGATTATTTTATACAAACAAACAACGTGCTAATACATATTTAGGATAAAAAGAGTAGTGGCTGGAACCGTCGAACATTTTAAGTGCAAGACATTTTTTTGGATATTATGATGAACCAAATTTCAATGTATTAAATGCCGCGCGAGATAACGATGATTGTGTTATTTGTTTTTAGAATATAAGTATCAAATATATTGTTTGATACTATACAGCCGTGATACGACCCATGTTTTGCTGGGTGTAGAACAATAGATCTTTTTATACTTTAATATATATTATACTCTAGTTATATATATACACTATACAGGGGGGATCACAAAAGATGATACGTTAAAGACTACTCTACAGAATTTAATAAGTTTTATTCCATACAATCAAACTCTACACTTACTTATTTCTTCGCCAAATCCGTGAAACTATCCTATCAGCAGAAGAACAAATTTTTTCTTCAAATCGTCAGATTTAAAGGGGTGAAATTAAATATGCTCTTTTAGACAGAAGAAGTTGGTCAAATTTATGTAACTATACTAATACGAGTTTGTGACCTCGTAGCTACTCTCTTGTTCTGATATTTTACGCACAAGTATGAGAAAACCAAATTTGATCGGTTACATTTTACATTTTACATTTTACATTTTACATTTTACATTTTACATTTTACATTTTACATTTTACATTTTCTTCTTCATTGTTTTCAAGACCCCAACTTTTAGGTAAGTTTTCAAGAGTCCTGAGTAATGAAAATTTAGTTGAGATGTATCTATTGAAACAGATAAAAGTTTTCAGACAAATAGAAATAAAAGTTGTGACAAAACAAGAAGGAATAAACACATTGTTTAACAGATTTTCCCCCTTTTTATCTTTTTATCTTTTTTTTTGCGAACTTTTGCACATTTTATTTTTTCTATTTATTTCAGAATTGACAAATTTATTTTTTGAAACTAAATTAAATTTTACAAGTTCAGTGCTTTCGTTTCCTTTAGTACTCTATTGTTTATTGTTAGTGATGGGATGATGCAGTTTAATTGTTTGTGAAGGGATGATGCATTTTTCATATAAAAATCAGAGAACCGTGCAGTCTACAATTTTGATAATGCAGGGTGATTCAAAACTATTTATCAACATTATGAAAAAACATATTTTTATTTCTACGATTTGTGTGTTTTAAATAAATATATTTTTTATGTACAGTATTACTGGAAGTCTGCACTGTACAGGGGGTGGAAAAGTTGTACTGTGACAGCTGCTTGGTAGGCTTTTGTATAAACGTTTACAATTACAATTATTTCGCATTGTACAGTTTACAAGGCTGCAGTACAGTGTACACTGTACAGAATGCAGTGTACACTGTACTGCAGCTTTGTAGGGAAGGTTCGGCTGGTAAAAATTGAAAAGAGTCGCTCGACTTTTTTTTTTAATGTTTCGAATTTGTAAATTCCCAAATATTAAAATATTAATTATGATTTATGAGTTCACGAAATTTTGCATTCTTATTTTTTTTTAAATGAAAAACATTTGAATTTTTATTTATAGTCTGGCATTATTTAAAAGTTTTAAAAAATGCAAAAAAAGGAAAACGTAAAGTTTAATTTATTATAGTGTTCATTCTCTTTTGAATGTAATTTATTTAATATTTTTGTCAGGACTGCACTGATGAAACAACCAGTAAAAGAGTTTTATGTTTAGAGGTAAATAACTAAGCTGACCAGCCTAATAAAATATATAAAGTATACTTGGGTTTTCATAAAACTATGGATTAGGAAAACGAGTAAACGAGGAAACGAGGAAAACGATTTGAGTATTTAATTATGTAAATTTAATTTTTGTTTTAAAGCCAATTGTTTTATCAGAAGCTTTAAAAACATCTAATTAAGTGAAATGGGTCTGTGTACACTGCACATTGCTGTGTAATATGTGTAATTAGAAATTTTTAAATCATAACTTGAGTCTAGAACTATGATTAGTTCCTTTATTTGACAGATAAACCTTCCCTTTATTTGTGAGATAAACATTCCCTTTATTTGTGAGATAAACATTCCCTTTATTTGCCAGATAAACAGTCCCTTTATTTGTGAGATAAACAGTCCCTTTATTTGTGAGATAAACAGTCCCTTTATTTGTGAGATAAACAGTCTCTTTATTTGTGAGATAAACAGTCTCTTTATTTGACAGATAAACAGTCTCTTTATTTGACAGATAAACAGTCCCTTTATTTGACAGATAAACAGTCAGATAAACAGTCCCTTTATTTGTGAGATAAACAGTCCCTTTATTTGTGAGATAAACAGTCCCTTTATTAGGAAGAATCTGCGTACTGTTTGACCCAAGTATCTCGGAAATTGGGTGAGGAAGGGAATGATACGCAGAGATACGGATTTCCGGAGGTTAACAATTATATTCAAAACACTTTCTTCAGTTCGGAAAACGCCTCGTTCATTCTCAACAAACTCTGTATAAGTGAAACTACAGGTAGGTTCAAGGGACTAAACAGGAAAAATGAAAGGGGGTATAGGATGAAACCTAAGCATTTTAAGAGTTAATTGACACCTATAAGAGTTTTATCTGGTGTTCCTGTCTTAAATTGTGTCAGATTTATACAAATACGTCATACAGACGGAGACACGTGACAATGATACTGCACTGCCATTGGTGGAAGTTCTGGTCACGAGATATGGACGTATTAGTTATATTATCAATTATATCTATTAAAAATGAAAAAATATTAAATTCAAATAATAATATAAGCAAACCTAAGTTTTTTAGGCTTCTCTGGGATATCGTCGTTTTCAGATCGGTTGCGTATTTGCTGAATATTATCTGTTTAAACTTACCGTTTGTATACAAAATTTTACATTCATTTAAATTTTCGTATAAATTTGACACAGTTTTATATCAATTTCTCGAGACAGGAACATCAGATAGAACTCTTATAGGTCTCGATCAACTCCTAAAATGCCTGGGGTTCAGCCTATACCCCTTTAATTTTTCCTGTTCAGTCCCTTTCAAATATGCCTTGAATTAAAGGGAGAGTCAGAGAATTGTTAATGGGAAATATGCTTTAATAAATGGAGAGTCAGAGGATTGTGAATGGGAAATATGCTTTAATAAATGGAGAGTCAGAGAATTGTGAATGGGAAATACGCTTTAATAAATGGAGAGTCAGAGAATTGTGAATGGAAAACATGCTTTAATAAATGGAGAGTCAGAGAATTGTGAATGGGAAATATGCTTTAATAAATGGAGAGTCAGAGAATTGTGAATGGAAAATATGCTTTAATAAAGGGAGAGTTGGAGAATTGTGAATGGGAAATATGCTTTATTAAAGTGAGAGTCGGAGAATTGTGAATGGGAAATATGCTTTAATAAAGGGAGAGTCGAAGAATTGTGAATTGTGAATGGGTGTAATGAGTGACACAATCGATGATTCATAAAGTTGTCACTATTGTCCTTAAAAAATCAATATACTTTAAAAATCAATCAATTACTATAATAGGAACCGGAACAGTTTTATAAGTTAGTTTTACCATTTGTTCCAAAAAGTAACAACAAATGTCATTTTTTTTTGCCAAATTACTGCTTCGAATTAACTTCTCCTGAGATAGCATAAAATGTATCTTTTTATTTCGATTGTCTGTCTCCTGCTTGACCCTTTTTTTGGTACCCAATAAACTTTAAATAGCTAAAATCAGCCATATTATATCTTATGTGGTATCTCACATGACCCCGGAGCCCGAAATTTAAAAGATCGTTAAACAGAACTCCAGAGTTTCCTTTTTGGGGTAAACACATTTGTGCAGATTTTGATTTAAGAGATTCGAAAAAAAAAAATGCAGAATAATGCGAAACTAAATAAAATAATATTTCATGACAAAAATATTAATATCCACAAAACTGCCTAACCCAAAACTGGTTTCCCTAAGTTTTGGGCTCAGGGAAGGTTTGTATGTATATTACAAACAAATATGTCAAATATAGATCAATATCACTTTGAATTTTTTGGGGGAAAATCCGCCAAGCGCTAATGAAAGAAAAAAATCTACGAAATTTTTTGTTATTATTGTTCAAAATTGTATGAAAAGAAAGGAAAGATTATCAAAAAAGCTAAAATATCTGCGTTGAATATAGTATTTTAATGGTTAATTAAATGATTTGGAAAAGATTGAACAAGGGTTCAGAGAACCATAAATATAAGGAAACTGTTAAAATTCTGCACATGTGTCTCTTAAGTCTCATCCGTTATGGATAACCATATACCAGCGCACAGTAAACAATATATGTTTCTATAGGTAAATCTATGATCAAGGATGGTTTAAAAACTGATGACTTGAACCCTGTTGTTGTTGTCGGAGATGGTTCTGAAGATCTTCTCTGCTCAGAAGGTATTATTTTAAAGGGACTGTCATTGAAGTTTACAGGGACTTTCCACTCAAACTAAGATTTTATAAAAACCTGCATCTTATCAATCTATTCCATAAAGATTCTGTGCACTAAAAAGACGATTACAACTGTCCAATTTTATGTACTTCTCATTTCTCATATCTGTTTGTTTAGAGTTTTTTTTTGCTTTTTAAATTACAGAAACCAAAGGGATAAAAAGTGTTGACTCTTAAGGAGAAGTTCTCCTATTTTCCAACAAAAAACGAGTACTACTTTTTCCACCGAATAAGTATTCACCGATAAAAGTACTCCTTTTTCACCGATTGAGTATTACTCCTTTCCCCACCGAATAAGAAGCGTTCTTTTCCCCTGAATAAGTAATTCTCCCTTTTCCACCGAATAAGGGATACTTTTTTTTCCACCGAATATGGAAGAACATTCTCAAGAAAAGGTAGAACAGAGCTGTGCTAAATACTTTTTTTACAGAGACGGCTTTGAATCTTGGAGAACTATGGAAAGGGTAAATATAAAGTTGACATTTGGGCAATTCATTATTTCTTTCCCCAAACCATCCCGGTCACCCACTTACCCACCTTACAAAAAGAGTAACCTCCCGTGACTACATATAAACTTAAACCTAGTTTTACCCGGAAGATTATAATCACGGGAGGTTGATCTTTTTCAGAGGAATTGATAGGTCTAGAAGAACTCAAGGAATTTAAACTCTGTACTACAGCACCAAAACAAGATTAAATAAACATTAAAATGTGTTGATAATTAAAATAATATTTTAATATGATCTATAATTTTAACAAGAATTTAGAACCCTGATGCAGAACTATAAGATGGCGAAAGATCCAAAGTTTTCTCCGACATTTGTTTGTCTATGTAAGGTAGGAACCAAGAAATGTAATATATATGTAAGGTAGGAACCAAGATATATAATGTCTATGTAAGGTAGGAACCAAGATATATAATGTTTATGTAAGGTAGGAAACAAGGAATGTCATATCTGTGTAAGGTAGGATCCAAGGAATGTCATATCTATGTAAGGTAGGAACCAAGGAATGTAATGTCTATGTGAGGTAGGAACCGAGGAATGTAATATTTATGTAAGGTAGGAACCAAGGAATGACATATCTATGAAAGGTAGGAACCGTAATATTTATGTAAGGTAGGAACCAAGGAATGACATATCTATGAAAGGTAGGAACCGAGGAATGTAATATTTATGTAAGGTAGGAACCAAGGAATGACATATCTATGAAAGGTAGGAACCAAGAAATGTAATGTCTATGAAAGGTAGGAACCAAGGAATGTAATGTCTATGTGAGGTAGGAACCGAGGAATGTAATGTCTATGTAAGGTAGGAACCAAGGAATGTAGTGTATATGAAAGGTAGGAACCGAGGAATGTAATGTCTATGAAAGGTAGGAACCAAGAAATGTAATGTCTATGAAAGGTAGGAACCAAGAAATGTAATGTCTATGAAAGGTAGGAACCGAGGAATGTAATGTCTATGTGAGGTAGGAACCAAAGAATGTAATGTCCATATAAGATAGGAACTAAGGAATGTAATATCTATGTAAGTTAGGATCCAAGGAATTTAATATATATGTGAGGTAGGAACTAAGGAATGCAATAACTATGTAAGGTAGGAACCAAGGAATGTCATATCTATATCAGGTAGGATCAATGGAATGTTATATCTATGAAATTAGAAACCAAGATATATAATGTCGATGTAAGGTAGGAAACAAGGAATGTAATGTATATGTAAGGTAGGAACCAAGTAATGTAATGTCTATGTAAGGTAGGAACTCAGGAAAGGAACAAGGAACCAAGCAATGTTAATTAAATGTAAGGTATGTAAGAACCAAAGACTGTTATGTCGGTGTTAGGTAAGAACCAAGAAATGTATAGTATATGTCTATGTAAGTCAGAACCCAAGGAATGTTTTGTCTGTGTAAGTTAGAATCCTTTGAATATAATGTCTATGGATGTAAGGTAGAAACTAACGTAAGGTTTGTCTATGTAAGGTAGTAACCAAGAAATTTAATGTCTATGTAAGGTAGAAACCAATGAATGTAATGTCTATGTAAGGTAGTAACTAAGAAATTTAATGTCTATGTAAGGTAGAAACCAAGGAATGTAATGTCTATCGTCTAGCAATGTAAGGTTGGAACCAAAGAATACCATGTCTATGTAAGAAAGAAACCAAGAGATGAAAGGTAAAAAGGAATGTCATGCATGTTTAAGAAAGGAATCAAATAAAAAAACACAACAAAAGTTCCTTATCAATAAATACACTTTATAATATTATCTATATTTAGAAATCTGGATGTAATGCGGGAAACTTGCTAAGTAGTGAACATGTACCTCTTCTTATTCTTTTTCTTCAAATAGTTTTTCTATTTTGTTAAAATTTTATCCTTAATAAAAAATTTCAAATTTGTTGGAATTGTAATTTTTAACTCTACTATTGTTAATAAACAATATTTTAATTTAAAGCTTTATAACGACTAGTGAGGTACAATACAGGAATGTATCATGATATGAAAGAATATATATATATGTTTTGTACGTTCATATTACAGCATCTAGTTGTGTGCGTCCATTTCATAGCATCTCGTTTTATGCGTCCATGTTTCGGCATCTAGTTTTGAGCGTCCATATTTCGGCATCTAGTTTTGTGCGTCCATATTTCGGCATCTAGTTTTGTGCGTCCATATTTCAGCATCTAGTTTTGAGCGTCCATTTTTCGGCATCTAGTTTTGTTGTTTGTTCGCCGAGTTATACATTTATTCACTGTATATGCGTCCACATCCAATGAAATAAATAGGGGAGACGCACAAAATGAATAATGCTCCTTATGGGGTAACACTTTCTAAGTATATTTAATACAGGCTGGACCATACAACCGTACAACAGGCCGTACAACTCGTACAACTGTGGAGAAGGTAAAACGACATCAAAGCAATCATATGTTTATTCATTGTTGTGAAAAAAGTAAATAGTTTCTTTTTAGAGAGAAACTTGAATTGAAAATAATAAATTTTCAAAAAACAAATTATGGAAATCTCATTTAAAGGTACCGTTGTGAATCAGCGATGCCACTCTATGAAGGGAGAGCCAATGAATTTAAATTTCGACTACAGTTTCTTTTCAAAATCTATTTATATCTGTGTCTGTCTGGATAGATAGTTGAGGTTGGCTTGTCTTGTGGTTCAGCTAATAAATGTAAAAACTTCTGGAGACTCTAATTTCAAGTTTTGATTGAGTAAAAGAGATTGTTGGAGAAGAATTGAATTTCCATATTCCAGTTGCCAAACTTTCTAAAGTAGTATTGATTGATTATCTAACTTTCGAATCTTTAGATTGAAAACAGAGAAGTCACATTCAATCCTTACTCCAACCTATTCTAGAGTATTCAAACCCTACTCCAACCTATTCTAGAGTATTCAATTCTTACTCCAACCTATTCTAGAGTATTCAATCCTTACTCCAACCTGTTCTAGAGTATTCAAACCTTACTCCTACCTATTCTAGAGTATTCAAACCTTAGTCCAACCTATTCTAGGATATTCAAACCTTACTCCAACCTGTGCCAGGATATTCAAACCTTACTCCAGCCTATTCTAGAGTATTCAAACCTTACTCCAACTTGTTCCAGGATATTCCAACCTTACTCCAACCTGTTCTTGTATATTCAAACCTTACTCCAACCTATTCTAGATTATTCAAACCTTACTCCAACCTGTTCTAGGATATTCAAACCTTACTTTAACCTATTCTAGATTATTCAAACTTTACTCTAACCTGTTCTAGGATATGCAAACCTTACTCCAACCTATTCTAGAGTATTCAAACCTTACTCCAACTTTTTCTTGTATATTCCAACCTTACTCCAACCTGTTCTTGTATATTCCAACCTTACTCCAACCTGTTCCAGGATATTCCAACCTTACTCCAACATGTTCTAGGCTATTCAAACCTTACTCCAACCTGTTCTAGGATATTCAAACCTTACTCCAACCTGTTCTAGGACATTTAAACCTTACTTATTTAAACAAAGTAAATATAGGCTTTTTAAGAACAAAAATTGATTTCCTCTATGCTCTGTGAGTACGTATACTGACAAAATCTAAGAGATAAGAGAAGAATAAGAACATTTTATAAATAAGAATTGTTGTTTATTTTGAATGGTATATATCTGATTAGCAATGTATTTTCGTGTAATGTATAAGTGGTAACAAGCTCTTCTCCAGATTATCCTTAATCTGATTCATCCACGGTTTATGAAGATAGGACAACACAATTCCTTATCTCATTCATCCACGGTTTATGGAGAGATAGGACAACACAATTCCTTCTCTTATTCATTCTCAGTTTATGGAGAGATAGGCATAGAGAATAGAATATATAGAGAGGAATTAAAAGAATCTCTCGGTATGAATTTTTTCAGTCCCTTTCAGCCTGAAAGGGAGTTCAAAGTGTACAAATCATGTAAATGTTCACAAATTATATGCAGTAGAGTACATTAATACAGTATGTTCCCTAGACTATCCATTTCAATTTCGAATTTTTTAAACTGTTAAATAAACTTTATAATGAATTAGGTGAATAAATCATCATTTGATTTATAGTTATAACGGAAAATCATCGTTTGTAAAGTAGAAGGCATAGAGTCTATGTGAAATGATCATTGGTCAATTATGAAACCAGCCTATTTCATAATTTGGTTTTCTTTTAACAATAATTTTAGACTTTCTATAAAATGATATTCCATGGCCCAACAGGTTATATAGCATAAATATGTGAAGTATACCTGCAGTATGGAAACAGTACAACAAAATGGCCGTTTTACACTTTTTTCTAGTAAATTCCTCTCTATATATTCTATTCTCTATGGAGATAGGACAACACAATTCTTTGTTCTATTTATTCACAGTTTGTACAGTTAGAGCAACACAATTCTTTGCCTTATTTATCCACAGTTTATAAAGATAGGACAACAAATTGTTCAATAAGATTCCTGCAAACATTTCAGAGAAGAACAACAGAAATCGTATTCTGATAAATCCACAGTTTTCAAGGAAGGATTACAGCTCCTGATTATATAGGTAGAACAGCAAATATAGTTGCTACATAATACATTCTGCATTTTTATCTTTTTCTAATTTTACAGTTTTACTTATGTTGTTTTTTTACAATGAAAATAGTGTTACAGCTGTCTTTATACGTTAAATGCAAGCTTACTCTTCTCCTTATAAATTCTTACCTCATTGGAAGTTGTATTATAAATTTAAATATTTAATCATTATTATAACAATTGATACCGAATTCTAAAGCAATGAATACAGGGTCCAAATCTAATGAATAAAGATACATGGTTGAACCGCGAAGACGTAGTTCAACAACTTCCCTTAAACTGGCGTAAAAGAGAAATGGCTGAACTACGTCTGCGTGGTTTAATTACTTTTACCCAGGGTTTTAATTAGAGGGGTACGTGCCCCCTGTAAGATAAAATTAAAGTTAAAATTTTCTTTATTAGAGGTGTGTCCCCTCTGCTTCTTGGGCCTCGTTCTCACTATTCATTAAATCTGGTCCCAGGTCCTAGTGGAGAGTGATCTGGTCCCCGCTGTCCTATCCCGGGTCCTAGTGGAGAGTGATCTGGTCCCAGCTGTCCTATCCCAGGTCCTAAAGGAGAGTGATCTGGTCCCCGCTGTCCTATCCCGGGTTCTAGTGGAGAGTGATCTGGTCCCAGCTGTCCTAGCCCAGTGCTTAGTAAAGAATGCTCTGGTCCCAGCTGTCATATCGCAGGTCCTAGTTGAGAGTGATCTGGTCCCAGGTCCTATGCCAGGTTCTAGTGGAGAGTGATCTGGTCCCCGCTGTCCTAGCCCAGTTCTTAGTAAAGAATGCTCTGGTCCCAGCTGTCATATCGCAAGTCCTAGTTGAGAGTGATCTGGTCCCAGGTCCTATGCCAGGTTCTAGTGGAGAGTGATCTAGTCCCAGCTGTCCTATCCAAGGTCCTAGTGGAGAGTGATCTGGTCCCCGCTGTCCTAGCCCAGTTCTTAGTAAAGAATGCTCTGGTCCCAGCTGTCATATCGCAGGTCCTATTTGAGAGTGATCTGGTCCCAGCTGTCCTATTCCAGGTCTTGGTGGAGAGTGATCTGGTCCCAGGTCCTATGCCAGGTTCTAGTGGAGAGTGATCTAGTCCCAGCTGTCCAATCCCAAGTCCCAGTGGAAAGTGATCTGGTCCTAGCTGTCCTATCCCAGGTCCTGGTGGAGAATGATTTGGTCCTAGCTGTCCTATCCCAGGTCCTAGTAGAGAATGATCTGGTCACAGCTGTCCTACACCAGGTCCTGGGGAAGAATGACCTGGTCCCAGCTGTTCTATCCCAAGTCCTAGCGGAGAGTGAATTGGTCCCAGCTGTCCAATCCCAAGTCCTGGTGAAGAATGACCTGGTCCCAGCTGTTCTATCCCAAGTCCTAGTGGAGAGTGAATTGGTCCCAGCTGTCCAATCCCAAGTCCTGATGAAGAATGATCTGGTCCCATCTGTCATATCCCAGGTCCTAGTGGAGAATGATCTGGTCCCAGGTCCTATCCCCGGTTTTAGTGGAGAGTGTTCTGGTCCCAGGTCCTGGTGGAGAGGGATCTGGTCCCAGCTGTCCTATCCCAAGTCCTAGTGGAGAATGATCTGGTCCCAGCTGTCCTATCCCAGGCAGAGGTCCATAAAATTCCATCTGACCAATCCCAAATGGTGATTGATTGATATTAGGGGCAGAAATAAACCATGTTGTTATTTTAAACAATTGGAATTATAATGTCAAGTTGTAGAAACAATTCCATACTGCAGAATGTTTACTGCAAGGGAGTGTTTATATTTCAGTATATCCTAGATTATCTCTTATATTAAATACTAATATTTACATCTTTTGACACCCCAAATGCAGTACACATTTCTGAAGGGTATTACTACACAAAAACTTGTCAAAGTTCACAATGACATATAAAGTGTACTTTCCTGCTCCTAAATGTACTTTCAACCCCGATCACATTTGGGATCAGAAATGGAATTATTTGGACCCTTGATCCCAGGTCTTAGTGGAGAATAATAATCTGGTCCCACTCCCAGGTACTATCCCAGGTGCTAGTGGAGAGTGATCTGGTTCTAGTACTGTCCTATCTGTGTAATTTGTGGATTCATCCTTCTCATCTTATCCCATACATTCGATACTCTAATCATATAAAAATACATACTACAATACACAATAAACATTCACTATATGTCTTTTATTTTATACATTTCACACTTTTTTCTTATTTAAATATGGGGGAAACTTTTTCATCGAAAATGTCCAATGTATCATTTACTCTCAGACAAATTAGAATCAATGGAAATTTGTCTGAGAGTAAATGACATTCCTTTTTAAAGAGGGGATTCAATGATAA